GAGGCGGTTTTGCGTGCTTTTGAGATAGGTTGGACAAGTTGGGCAGGTTACCCCGAATACGGTGTTTTCAGTGACAGAGCAAAGTATTTCATTTCAGAGTTTGCGCAAGCGATGGAAGCAGCAGGGTGTGATTTTGACTGTGCGGCACGGGCCTCACCGTGGCAGCTTGGACAGGTCGAGAGACATGGCCATATTTGGAAGTCAATCCTCAAGAGGATAGTGTGGTGTGAACAGCTTGCAGGTCGGGACCAAATGTTTCATGCAACAAGCGCTGTTAACAGTGCAAAGAACAACTTGGTTCGGAAGTCAGGCTTTAGTCCATCACAGTGGGTACTCGGGAAGTCCATTCGGTTACCCACAGAGCTGTCCGCCTTGGAGCATTGTCTTTGTCCATGAACCCCTCAAACCAGTTCTACCTCAAGACCAAGCTTAGGTTTGCAGCAAGAGAGGCATTCATGCAAGTCAGCAATTCAGAAGCCCTGAAACGTGCAGAACTTCGGAAGGTCAAACCTAGCCGAGGACCCTTCGATGTTGGGAGGTATGTCTTCTATTTCGATGCCTCGGACACCGTACCTGGACCAGCGTGTTGGAGGGGTGTTGCAAGAGTCATTGGAAAAGAGGGCACACACACTGTTTGGATAGCGCATCGCGGCATTATTCTTGCAGTTTCCCCAGAGCATTTAGCCTTTGCAGACGACCATGAAGTGCAGAACTGGAGTGTTGTTGGTTCAGAGGTTGAGCTTCTTGATACACAACCAGCCGCGGGCGGCAACACCTTTGTTGATCTACGGCAGCAACCCAAGCCATCTCGAGAAGGCTATGAACCAGAAGCCGGAGAGTTGGAAGATTTGCCTAGACCACTTTTGGACCAGCCGATGCCACAGGCTGATGAGGAGCTCTATGAACCGACTGACCCAGGGGATCATTTGGAGGCACCGCCCGTTGCGGAAGAACCATTGGCACCATCGTTAATGCCACCAGCAGAGTCCGAAGACTTATCTTCTGATTCCCTGTCAATGGCCCGAATGAAATATGAATCCGAAAGAGATGCCAAGAAAGCCATAAAGTCTTCAGAGTTCTTTGCAAAGAAGCGTGAAGAAAGACTTCAGCGCCAAGAAGAACGGAGACAGCGATTTCAACAGTCAGAGGCGGCTCGACAGTTTGAAGCAGCTAGCATTCCCATTCCAAGAGCTGAGTATGATCCAGACGTAGACGACTACCATCAGTCGGTTCCGTCGCCGAAGCGCTTGCCGGCGATTTCGGAGGATCCAGATGCAGATGCTCGTGAGAGGGAGAGCAAACGACTTCGCAGTGCAGAAGAGATCACCTCAGCCGACGCACAAGCCAGTGGGTTGTTTGCGTACCTAGTTGTTGAACAAACTGGTCATTTGATTTCAGAAGCTAGAAGACATTTTTATGCACATGAGGCTTTTTACACAGAGCACGATGTCAGCATTGATGTTTTCGAATTTGGAATCAAACGGAATGATTTCAACAGTCGCTATTGTGATATGTATGATTTTGCAATGGGAGCCACTCCAGGCACAGCAGCAGGTAAGAAACGTGGTCGCAAAGAATTGTTCTTGAAAGATGTTGCAGAGGACATTAGAGAGCTGTTTACAGGACCACAAGGTGCTGACAACAAGGAGTGGCGAGCTTGGCAGGAGAAAGAGGCAGTTGATATTTTGAATTTGGAAGAGAGCAAGAAAGTACGAGAACGAAGTCCGGAGCTCATCGTTCCGACCAGATGGGTCAGGACGAACAAATCGGAAGGCATGCCCGGACAACCATTTCTTGCAAAGAGTCGGCTTGTGGTACAAGGTTTCAAGGACCGATCCTTGGGCTACTACAGGCGTGATGCACCGACAGCTAGTTCGCTTGCAGAAAGCATTTGTCTTGCAGTATCGGCCCATATGGGCTTTACAATGATTTGCAAAGACGTGAAGAACGCATACTTCAGCGGACGTTCACTTGAACGTGAGATTTACTTGGAGCAGCCTCGCGGAGGCCTTGGCAATCTCGTTCCTGGACAGTTGTTGCGTGCGAAGAAAGCAATTTATGGTTTTAGCGAGGCAGCACGTCTTTTCTGGGTAGCACTCAAAGGACATCTTGAGAGTGATGGTTGGGTGCAGAGCAGACTTGAACCGGCTTTGTTTTTCTTGAGACACGGGCCACAACAGCATTTGAAGGGCATTTTAGTGACCCATGTGGATGACATTGAAGGTGGAGTTCATCCTGATTTTGCTGATAAGGCGTTTCAACGAAGCAGCAAAGCACTAGAGTTTGCAAAAAATCATTACAGAGAATTTGTGTTCAGAGGACGTGAAATCAAGCAACATACAGACGGGCACATTGATGTTTGCATGCGCAATTATGCATTGAGCACCAAGAGCATTCACATTAGCAAGGTTCGTAGGACACAGCTTGAAAGCAGTTTGACAGAAGAGGAGTTTCAAACATTTCAATCTGGAGCAGGTGAACTTGGATGGCTGACGCGCCAACTCAGGTGCGACCTTGTTTATGAAAACGGTGTTGTGCAGAGAGCCAAAGGCGACGCTTGCGTGGGCGACCTTGTGCGCTTGAAGCAGTACTTGGCCCAAGCCAAGAGGGGAGCTGACTTCCGACTCCGTTACTGGTCGGATGTGAACCTTAGGGATGGAGTTTTGATCTTGCTTGCAGATTCCGGTCATGCCAACGGCACTCCGGAGAAGGATGAAATTATGCGTTACCGATCGGTCGGTGGCTATTTTATCTTGATAGCAAACAAAGAGATCTTGGAAGACAAAGCAGCTCGTGCAAATGTTTTGACCTTTTACAGCGGTCAGACCAAGCGTGTTTGTAGTTCGACCCTAGCAGCAGAGGCGTCGCATCTTGCAGAAGCCGTTGAGTGCGGTGATTGGTGTGCGTGTTTGTTGGAGGAAGCATTGACAGGTGATTTGAACTTGAAGGACTGGCCTAGCATTATCCAGCGTAGGGTTCGTGTATATGTCACCGACGCTAGATCTGTTTATGATTACTTGCAGAAAGATGCTACAAGCACTTCAACAGACAAGCGCATGGCCATTGAGGAGACGGTTAGGCAACCGAATGCCTTAGTTCGTTGGATCGATGGTATGCAGAACATTGCCAATGTTTTGACAAAAGCCAACGCTGAGAAGGAGACCTTGAAAGAGTTTCTTCGAAGTGGCCAAATGTCATTGGTACAAACCGAGGAGAATAAGATCCTCAAAGAGACCAAGAGAAGACAGAGGCAAAACAGAAATGTTCAGAGACATGCTGAGAAAGCAGCCAAACCTGCAGACCACCAGCGCAGAAGTCAGTTGGCCGCAGAGATCCAAGCAGATGACGACGACCATTCCAGCTCAGGTCAAACAAAAGAATAACCAGTGTGAGAGTTACCATGAAGTTCGATGAGAATGCAGTTGACCGTGAGCTGTCCCGCAATGCCAGGCAAGACTGGCCCAAGCACCGGCGGCCCCAGATGTTGGCCAAGCGTTCGATCGGCCCGTCATGACAAGATAGAAGCAACCACAAGCATACAGCAGAAACCAGAAGAGCAGTACCTACACTTGTTTCACATTGCATGTAGAAACCGAGCAGCATCTCCCGAAGCGGAAAAGGGGCCGTGCTCTGCGCCAGTTGCAGTTTCGCATACACATATTAATATGCATATTATATAGGTGAACCAAGGACCAATTATACAATGGCTATACAATGGTAAGCGTGTCTTTAAAAGTGGACCAACAGAGCACAAGCTGACTGGCTTCAGGTTGCTTTGTGAAACACGTCCTGAAAGATTCAAGATGACTGCCAGCCAGGCTGCCCAGAAGATTTCAGAGGACATCATGTCGGCGCAGAAGAAGATTTCAGGCTGCAGCCCTTGTCGTTGGCCTTGCGGTCGGCCTTGCCGTCGGCATTCATGGAGACGTTTCCTCACGTCGGCATTGATGTCCCTTTCCTCGAAGTCGGACGTTCGTCCTCGAAGTCGGTTTTGTTTTGTGTCATTGGAGCACCAAAAGCCAACGCCCAGCGACCCAGCGGCCTGGGGATGGTGATATGTGATGAACAACATCGACCATCCAATCTGTTCGGGCTTTCCGACCACCCGGACGTGGCCGAGCATTTGGGTTCCCGAAGACGATGTCCACAAAACAGGGTGGTGAACTCCACGGAACCCAATGTGTTCATCGGAGTGTTTGGGCGCGACGGTCAGTGCTGATGTTCCCAAGACGGCGCGAACCGGGAGGTCAGGCAAAACAGTTTTGCGAGCATTCCTCGACGAACAAACCGTTTGGCTGGTAGGAAGAGGGGAGTGTAGGTGTCAGGGAAGATACAGTCGAAGCATTTGGCGGTAGGAAGATGTTTGACAGGCGCAATTTCTCCATTTGGACGATTCCCCGATTTCGTCGCCAGTTGTCCCACTCTCAACACCCCCATTTAGTTGGGTCAAGGAAGCAGCTCATCGGTTTCCTCCCTTCATTGTTTTCGTTTCGTTTGCGATTCTTTGAGGATCTCCCATCACCGGATTTTCCCAGACATCGGACCTATGCCAAAGGCCATGCCCTCGACCTTGACGGGAGAATCCCTGCGTGGTCCACCTGCGCGGGCGAGGTCTGCCGCGCGTGGCAGGGCCGATAGCGGTGGGACGAGCCACCGACGAAACCGACGAAGTTGGCAGGACACCCAGCCAATCCGCGGCGCGCTTCGTAAAGGGGGTGGACCTCGTGGTTCCACGCGTGGATCAACGCTCCACGCTGGGCTGTTTTGGTTTGATCGTGGTGTTCGGCTCGAGCCACGAGCTGCTCCGCGGGGGTGCCACGGAGCGGAAGCGGTCGCGAGCCTCAGCGACCGGAGCCGAGCCCGAGCCATGGGTCTCTGTGTTGGCCGCAACGAGAAGGTTCCTGTGAAGCACTTGGTTTCTGAGCAGGAAAAACCGGCTCACCTTGGAGGATTTGGAGGGAACAGCTGCCTGCTTTTAGCGCTTTTCCTCGACTGCACATCTCATGCTTTGTTGGGCACAGGGACTAACTATGAAGTGCTGAACGTACTGAATGAAAGTTGACACAACATTTTGGGAGTGAGCTGTTCTGGGACTGGTTTAAGGCTGCCACCTACTGTAGGCATGTTGGTCGCTGTTGGCCTTGTGCTTGAAACAACAGGGTTGCCAACATCAGTAGGCAGAAAGCAAGCGATTGTCCATGAGAACAGCACCTGATGTACCCTTTGCACACATGCACGGCTGGCTGAGCAACATCGAACAACAACTCCAATCCTTGTAAGCAACTACCCTTTGATCTAGGACTAATCAACCGTTGTCAGTTTGACCGTTGCGGTTCGCTGGATCTTGTGACTTCTGTGACTTCCGGAGTTCCGAGAGTTTGGTCGTCTCCGGAAGCAGGCCATGTTGGAAGCAGACCATGTCTTGTTCGCCGAGTTTCCATCACTGCTGTTGCTTGAACTGCCGAAGAGCCCCATTTTTTGAAGATATCAATTTTTTTCGAACTACATCTGTTGGATTCTGTTGGCCTTCTAAATTCATTGCCCTACTGACTCAGATCCGTTGCCTCCCTCCAAGGCGGCATCGCCGGTGGAAACTCCAGAGGATGTCTGGCTGGAGGAGATCTTCCAGCAGTTCGAGGACTCCAGCAGTTGCCGATACCTATGTTACACAGTAATTATCTATCGTAGAACGCCGTGGAATGATGGGATGGCAACAGAAACATTCATGCTTACGTGATGTTTGAGATGGAAACAGACATACACATTCATATACAGATACATTGAAAAGTGACAGTTGGTGAAGCTTTCCAAAAGTGAACATGGCTCCAATCTCTTCGGCCAGCATACTCCAGGAGACTTCAGGCTTGATGAAGGCCTCTGGGTAGACTCGTAGAGACCACATGGATCAACAGGTTGAATCTTCGAAGGAAACGTTGGAAATCAATTTGAGTAGCTAAGAACTCTGCAGTCCCAAGCACCAAATCAGCTGATGTGCCAAGGATTTGACAAGAAAGGCACGTGAGCGGTCATGACCCGGGCGCAGGTCAAGGATGGACGAGGTCTATTGCAACTCTTTGACCCGCAGAAGACAGGTGTCTTGGCTTTTTTGGAAGCAGATGTTCGCATGCGCCATCAAGCCCTGGGTGAATCCACACAACATGAGCCCTGGCCTTTCAAGACCCATTTTGTTCCGAATGGTTGACCTGGTGACCTGTCGTGTATCCTTAGCAAAACAGCTTGGCCAGGAATCCCAGGGTGAGAGCACCAAGAGCAGCTTAGGGCGGTCGTTGCCGTTTTGATCCGTTTGGACATCACCTGGGCGGAGGTGTCACGATATGACGAACGGAGTAACTGACTTCCAGCCGTGATGGCTGCAGAAGATGTTTCACGTAGACTTATACTGATGCCATGAACACATATTTCATGGTTCTGCATGGAGACTTGGACGGACTGCCGTTGCCAGTTTTGGTCGTTTCGAGCGCCTAGGTGTTCTCCGTCTTCTGCCGCAAAAGACCATCGCCACAGCTGTGCAGCTGTACAGTCCGAGCCTTAGGAGCTACAGCTACTGACAGTCTCTTTGAACATCGCTGGCAGGTTAGCAGACATGTATCTTCCCACCCGCTAGAACTTGCGAGACTCTTCGAGTTGAGTCATTTCTACAAGTCTTGTGTAGTGGAAGCTGGAGTTGTTTGGTTAAGTCTGTTGTGATGCTATGCATTGGATTTGTTTCGATCCCCACGAACTGAAAGACCAGATGCAGTATGAAAAACAACCTATAGTTAATGTCGCTTCCTCAAGAAATCCTTGATCCGCAAGTCCAGCTTATTGAGTCCCGATGTATCAACACACGCTTTGAGGTTTTATGAGCAATATAGTGTACAAAAGTATATTTGGATTAAGTTTGCTACCATCATCCTCTATGCTTCCCGAGACTATCCACATGTCATCCCATCCCCTTGCGTTGCCTCGTTGCTGAGGTAACAGCCTTTCAATGCACGTGGAGGAGACCACCGAAAACGCGTCGCGGCTTCCTTCGGCATCATCGCGACGGTTTGAATTCAATTGTTAAGCAGCTTCATGCAGTGCAGGAGATGCTGAAAAGCGAACCCTCCGATAGCTGCTTGGTGTTTTGAATGGTGTCTCACTGCCTGGAAACAAGACTGCAACAGTGACTCATGCGTTTCTTTTAAAGCTTTTTTGGCATCTGAGACCAGTGGGTAGACCATGCTAAAAAGTGAACCATCAACCCATCATATCATGAGAGGTCAAACACCTGCCAACCTTCTTGTCTACCGACCTTAGAATCGACGAGCATTTTCATGAGGTCAACAAGTACTAGCAATATGACTGGGTGCTGGTTTCAGGTTTTGAATTTCAACTTTTACTTGGAATGATATGTTTTGTGAGTTGAAACCAGCAGTATACCAATTATGCAGTCCTGTGCAGTCCTGTGCAGCTGAGGCCGGTTCAATGTGGATTGCATCAGTCCCTTCCTCCTCTCGCCCGAGGCACCGGAGCCTCATTGCACGGGGCCCACCTCTTTGGCCACTGCCCAACGGCATTCGACACCTCATTGGACCACGGTCTCTATTCATTTGTATGTGTGTACATGCATGTGAGCTGATGACCGTGCAGTTTAGATGGACACCTGACACATGACACTGTAGAGCTGTTGTACAGTGTCATGGTATCACACCAGTTGTTGATATGTCCAACTCCCCCAGCACCAGAACACATGGTATACGGGGGCAGGTGTCGGGAGGCGATTGCTTTTGACAGCAGTTCGCAAGTCGTGGTACCCAACCAACGGGTTTTAGTCCATTTTCCTTCTTCGAGGAGGTCGAACTGGGAGGTCTCCCTATTTAAATACACACCCTTTGCTGAGCAGCAAGGTCATGATATGCTGCGATGGTTTTTTTTTTTGACTTTCTTTTTCGCAGATGGAATCCGTTGCCTTCGAAACCTTGCACACGGAATTGGCAGGCCCCCTACGACTTGGAAGATGCAACGTCTTTGGCGAAATTCCTGCTCGATGCCGGCATCCGCCTGGTGAGGGCTCCGCCTCTCCCTCAGCTGCATGTATCAGTCTTTGCAGATCATTGGTTGGCTCAATTGGTGGACTGCATGAGCATGCTCAGTGTTTGTCCGCAGGTACCTCTACAAGCTGCTCTCTGCAAATAGGTGCATGCCACGGCGCCAAGAGGCGGAGCACGACTGCTGCGACCTGAACGGGATGGAGGTCTCAGCCCTGGTGTCGTACCAGGAAGTGGCCGAATGGGCTATAGGTCGCAGGAAGGCATTGATCTGTTCTGTGTCTCATGCGTGGGAAACGCGGGAACACCCGGATCCCTGCAACTTTCAGTTGGAGAATCTCGTGAACTGTGTCTCGCTATGGGATGCTGCGTATGTCGACGACATTTGGGTCTTCTACGACTATTTGTCCTTGTTTCAGTTTCAACGTGACACAGCTGAGCAAGAGGCGAGTTTCCGCCGAGCAATGTCGAACATGCACGTCATGTATGCTCACCAGAGCACGCTGACATTCCGCCTGGAACGTCTCACACCTGTTGAAACATGGACTGCAAGGAAAGAGGATTCAACGTACAAAGTGCCGATTTACCATTTGCCGAGCAGTGCGATTGCATGGATTCCACTTAGTGAGCTAATGGAAAACTTTACTATGTACCTGGAGCGAGGTTGGTGCAGGGCGGAAATCGAATGGTCTGCAGCACGGGGCATTCCAACCCAGAATATTGCGATCGATGGTGAGCCCGGCAAAGAGGTCACTGTAAAGATGGTGCCCACAGCGCCCGAAGTGTTTGAACAGCACATGGCCACGTCGGCCTTCACGCATCGCAATGATGCGACAACCGTTGTTGATCTTCAAAGGAAGATCTTCAAGCAAAAGGTTACTGTGAGGAATCACTTGAAGCTGGAACACTTGACCCAAGCCGACATGGCCGAGCTGGCTGCTTCCTTGCCCCACTTCCAGAACCTCAAAGAGTTGGAAATCAAAGTGTTTAAAGCTGGTGAAGCGGAGGCCAAGGCCTTTTTCGAGGCTGGTCAAGTCTTGTGACAGAGAGTGCCATACTTCATATATGGATTCAGATTGTTTTGTTGGGTTCAACTATGTTCAACTTCCACTTTGTCTTCTCCCAGTCTTGCTGAGCCCAACTGATGCGCCCGTTTCGGAGGCACTCAGCTCTGTTCCGCTGCAGAAGCTGAGCATGTCTAATATCTCTCAAGCCACCACACAGGCCAGGGTGGTGTCGCTCCGACTGGTTTCTGTCAACGTTCGGTCTCACCTGGCTCCGACGGATCGGCTCCGAGCGGCTGTGGAGGCGCTCCAGGAGGTCGACGTCGCCTTCTTCGCCTCGATGACTGAGCTCGACTTCAGTGGCTGTTACACGGGCGATCGGCTCGCCGAGGCGGCGCTGAGGATCGGGACGGTGGGACGGTGGCGGTGGCTGGGGTTTTGGACGGTGGGGATGGAGTGACTGGTGAAACTGACAGGTCATGGCGGAGGTCTTGAAGACCAACAGGACGCTCACCAAGATCAACCTGAGTCCCAATGACATCACAGACGTGGGTGTGCAGGCTGGTGTTTCGGAAACTGTGTTCCGTTGGATATTTGTCGAATGCGGAGTTAACCAAAGCAATAGCATCACAAAGTT